TTACCAAAGGAGTTGCCCGCAAATACTGCACCGAGCCGATTCACCAATCGGTGCTGAGTACAGCTCATCTTCACCCTACGGGCAAAGCAGCACACGGCTGCGCTCCAAATGGGTTTTCCTATTGGTGTCCCTGAAAGTTACCAAGATCAATAGAAACTATACAAAGAGCCTCAAAGAACGGCGAGCCTCAAAGAACCAAGGCACATAACAAGCGATGGCCTCTCGGAACTGCAAGCTCTCGGGCTGCATGGCATAGACCGCCGGCATATTGCCGGCCCTCAGCGCCGTTGCAAGGACCTCACGCGTCGCTGCATCGGCTGTTGGCTTCCCAAAACAAAAAATGCAAAAATAAAACTAGAACAAATATCACACACGCACACAAAACGAAAGAGCGCCTCGAATTCAAAGCGCGTTTGCTTCCATCCCATCCTTAGCAGCCCTTACACCAGAAATAACATCAACATATCTTGGCACTTCTTTGAACAAAGTTACACTCCGCACTCCCACCCCTGCAACACCGTAAAGTTACATCCTAAACATGTGCAGGTCTTCTCAGTGGGTGCAGTGGGCTTGATTGTGCTGGCCCAACTTGCGAGGCGCCTCAGTGTTCGCTTGCAGAAAAGGCGGCACCTCTTCGTCGCCCCTGAAGTCCGAAAAATCTGTGCAGAATGACTATAAAACGATGAGCTGGAAAGCCGATAGCAGCTTAGACCGAAGATTAGTGGACCCGGGAGTGGTTCGCGCCCCCCTCCAAAGAAAAGGAACAACAAAACACACGAGGCCAACAACGCCCCCCCAAGCCCCAGCGCCTGGCGCTTGGTGTCCACCGGGCGCCGGTGCCACCAGGCCGGCGGCAGCCCTGCGAGCACCGCCCCCTCCAGAAGCTCCAGGAGCTCCGCCTGCGGAAGCCACCGGATGGCCCCGCGGCGCTGGTGTCGCGCAGCCCTGGGAGTTGGTTTACATTTGTCGGTCTTGGCCGCACCCTCCCGACATGTAACCTGACAGGGGTCCTGGAAGACCATTGTCGTAACTGGAGAAAATGGACTTAACCAATTGGAGCCAGTTCCATCGAGCCAGGACCACTCAAGCTAAGGGCTGTTCGAAGCGCAAAACATGCCTTGTTGCTTTTGAATCCCCCAACGTAGACGTCTTTGCGTAAGGGTGCCCTTCTGGGCTGGATTGAAGGGAACGCCGAAAGCCACCCAAATGGGCAACCAAACGGGGAATGCCCTTGATGGATGGATTTTTTTCAGGAGGCCAAAGAGGGATTCAATTTTCTCTAGAACCCCCTGTTCACGGTGAAAAGCCTCAATAGTCTTTTCTGAGTTTAGTATGGCTATCCACGGAAAATACTCCGTGACCAACATAGCATGGACACCTTCCTGGCACCTCAACTGCAACGAGGGCAAGAGCTGAAGAGGCGCCACCCTAGCCCAATACCACCCAACGACGACATTCCCAACTTGGCCGGACATGACGCATCTATGAATACCACCTGTGAACTGGTCGGCACTGTTTGCCTGCGGGTGTTCACCAAGGCTGAAGGAAATCTAGCGGCCCAAGGAGCCCCAAGGACAGCCGCTCCCACCCCTCTGAGATTCCTCAAATGAAAACTGCTCCCAGCTCCAAATAACTGCTCAAGCCAGGCCAAATCCATCATCAGCTCATCTACGCAGTAATCGTTGAGCAAGCCACGCCGCAAATAGAATCTTGGACTGCTTGTCCAGTGCTAAAGAATGGAAGGCCACCTTTGAGCATAGTGCAAAGCAGTAAGCAAATGGAGGCCACATGTCCCAGACTCCAACACACAGGCCCTCACAGCCTTTCGTTATCCACCCGGAAACCGCCAACACACCACCGGGCCACCAAAACAACACACAAAACACCACAAGCATTGCACTTCACGGAAAAAAAAGAAATGCACAGACCGGCCCCCTGACCTGACCTGCCCCTCTCAGCACCTCTCTGCATCTCTCAGCATTTCTCTGCATCTCTCAGCATCTCTCAGTCCTGCCTCCGAACTCTGCTGCAAAATGGGCAGTTTCCCACAGCCCTCACTGGCAGCTCGGGCAGCCAGCAGCTCCTCGCGCTGGTACACGGGACCTGGCCGCAACTTTCGCATCAGCCTGGTGGTGCGGTAGGTGCCATAGGTAGGGAATGAGAAATGGAATGACCAGAAAAACCATCCGACGGGTGGTTTCCTTTGAGAGGATCCCTGGGTTCATGCCCACATTCCCTACTGAGCAGCAAAAAATGATGTGGATGAGGACAAACTATGGTCACCAACCGGGCCATTGTGGCATTGACGCCTGGCGGTTTATTCAACAACCTTTGGCAAAAGCATGGAATCATGGACCTGCTTGAGAATGGTCCACTTCTGTCAGACTACTCAGTCTGAGTCAGTCCAAACTTTGATTTTCGGACGACTAAGCTGCTCGTGCCCGAAAACTGTTCGACCAATCTCCCTGGACCCCTGGCGATTCATATGGCCTATCTCGGGATCCGAGAAACTCACGCGCAGGACCGAAAGTCTCTGACAAACTGGCAGCGCCTTTGGACCTCACTTACCCCCTTGCAAACGTGTGAGTGGCAATCAAACCTGGTATTAAAATGGTCGACCCAGAACAATGTAAAGAATTAAGAAGGCGCCGCAACTATTTATGGCTGGGACTGTTCCTTGCTAGCCTTCACTTACCCAGGTTTTGATTGTGACTCATGTGTGTGTGTGTGTGTGTATATGCCACCTCCCCGTTAAATACCCCAAGATGGGCGGAAACTACGTCCGACAATTCTATTTGGTGGGGTTGACAATCCTCAACTGGAGAATGTCCTTTCGAGCTGATGCGGGTTCTTTGGTATAGCCCAGGGCGCTGGAAACTGGAAGGCACTCAACTTAGGAATGTTGCAAGTCCTGAATTTGTCTTTTCCATTTTAAAAAGGTCTGAAAGCTCATTGCCCCTCCCCACTTCTCCCCCGACCTGCAGCTTCACACTCGGCTTCGGTTTCGGCTTCACCTTCCAGGCGCATCAGGCTCACCTCGCCAGCCCGCAGCTGGGCGACCGCCAGCTCCAACTCATCCCCCAGCTGGACCTGCCGGCCGCGACTCGATAAGGGGAAAACATATCTGGGCCTCAAACTTGTTGTTTGCCATTAAAATGAAGACCGTGTCTCCAAAACGGTAGCCTTGCGTGAAGTCACAATTTGCCAAGAACATTCTGAACATATAAGGATGCCTGGGCACCACGTTGGCGAGATGAAGTCTACTTAAACAGGGTGTCTGATACATTCAGCCCAATGGGGGACCTGTTCAAACCGGTCCGCGCACGCCCCTCAAACCTCACCACAAACGGCGTTTCGCCCACACGGCCTCGAAGTCCAAGCCGTGCTTCAGCGGGAGCACGGCGCAGGGCAGCTGGCCTTCCAGCTGCAGCTCCAGTCGGTCCTGCCCCACGCCGTGGCCCGGGGCTCAGTGTGCCGAGGGAACGAATCACCATGCGGGGGGCGGAGCGGGCGGAGCACACGGCACTTGTTGAAAACTCCCCCAACCTGGGAAGACTCAGAAAAAACTCAGAAAAATATCAGCCTTGAACTCGATCCCCAACTTGAGTTGAGGCTGAGTCGGGAGCTGAGTTTTTTCAGACTTATGTCTTGTGGCTGATTTGAGCTTTTTAAGTTTGTTTAAGGGTTTGTGGTTCGTTCTTGTCTGACAGGGTTGGTTGGGGAGGACATCTGCAGGTTTTCACCAAGAAAACGCAAGCAACACTCAGGGAAAAAACAGCTATGAGAAACAACTCGAAAAGCAACTCACAAGTAACTCCGCTCCCGATTCAGCCTCAAAGTCAAGTGGGGGGATCGAGTTCAAGGCTGAGTCGGTTCTGTGTCGTTTTTGAGTCTTTTTCCTGTGTTGTCTTTGTGGAGTCTGTGTTATCACTTGAGTTGTTTTTTGTCCGCTGAAACCTCTCCTGCCTGAGCCCATCTGGTCTTGAAACAGCATCTCTGTGATCCGGTTCTGGGAATTGATCCCCGTAAAAATGTCACGCCCTCTGGCCGGTGCTGCGCGCCATGGACAACCCAAGACTCCAAGCCGCCTGAGAGATGTGCACGACGCGACCTTCCACCAGATCTCCGAGCTTGGGCATGGCTCGGAAAGGCTCGCAGGCCTAAGCAACACCCAGGGCCTTTCCGCAACATTGGGCTATGAGGCTATGAGCACCCTTACCGCAGGAAGCGGCGCTTTCACAGACCTCTTCAGCCAGAAAAACCAGTCAAGCCCTTCATGGAAAGGAAACAACGGCTGGGTTCGACAGTCTGTCCATGTATGCGATTGCGCCATCCTATGGCACAATCTGGCCCTTCAAAAGGCGCTTGATGCAAATGCAAGTCGTGTGCAGGCTTTTCCGCGCAAACCTCCTACCAGAACGCAGCTGCCAGGCAGGAAGCCTCAGTTTATTGTCTCAAACCTAAAATCGCCTCGATTTCCGCCCGGCAGTGCATGTGCCGAGTGCCGAGTCAAAACGTCACCGTTTGGGTCGAATGTTCCTTGCTTGGCTTTCCCTTTAGGGACATGCGGTGAAACTTAGATCTCAACCTCATGGATCCACCTCTTTCAGTTGCAGAGACTCAGAACTCACTGCCGTTCTCATAACCCCTGCCGGTCCTCTGGTAGGCCTCAAGGGCGTTGGAGGGCCTTCAGCTCACAAACTGCCGTGCTTGGACTTCTGCTGTTGAAAGAAGATAGACCCGTAATGTAAACCGTGGCCCAACCAGCACACAAGCAAACACAACGCCCCATCTGCGTTTGACAAAGCCTGCTGATTGACAAGAACCACGTAAAGCATCGCCATGATGCCCATGAATCCGGCAAACGCCAGGCTTTCAAGTCTGCATCCTGCACTCTCCAGGTGGCGCATTCTGTGCCAAGCGTCACGGTGAAGAACGCACTTGAACATTGCTGAAATCCATGCTCTTCACCCGGCCAATGCGCAGCCTCGCCCTTGTTTCCTCACCCGTTCTGACAAGTAATTCCATATGCATGCCATGGCAAGCAACGGAACACGGCCTCCGGCCAAATTCTGCCATGGAACAACTGCACTTGACGGCTCGCTGCTGGACATCCTGCGCGGCCTAGTCTCAAATCGAGCTGCAGCTGCCAAAGCCACCAGCTTGCGCCCAAAGGAGGGTGCAAACGAATGAAACTACGGCATGCAGCATGCCGTCTAGGTTCCGGCACCCCTATTGCGTTCGCAAGGCCAGAAATCAAGCTTAGATCTCCGGCTCTAAACGATCGCCCAAGAATGGAGAATCATCTGCAAGACCTTGCGAAACACAGTGTAGGGGGCTGGCATCCGCCAGCATAGTAAGGTTTAGAAGGAACTGGGCTTCATTGACAAACTCATCCTGCCCGCTGCAGTGTCCACAGACTCCACGCGCACCTGGACCTCTTGACCCACTGAGAGCTCGTCTTCCACAGACTCCACGAAGCCGTCGCGGATGTCTCCTCATGATTTGAGTGAACAATTCAAGCTCTATGTTAGGAGTCGGGGTCGCAGTCAGGGTTGCAAAGTCCAGGCGGGTCGCGGGGTCATGGAGATAGGAAATCTGAGGAGATATTTTTGTAAGGTCTGCAGGGTGGGCTGCGGACATAAGGCTGGATAGTTGTCACGGATTCCATGCAAGCACATTGGAACTGTAAGCAAACTCACTTCTCGCTGCGTCCAAGGTGAATGGCGAATCGGGAATGCCTGTTTCGAGCTTCGGGTTGTTACTTTTAACCACATTTCGCTGGCAGCAAAACCTTCTTTGCCCGTCTGTCTGCAGCGCAAACGTAAAAACAACACGTCAGCAACACTGCGCTTTGTGCAACTTTTCCTCCAGTGCAGCAGCACAAGAATTGCAATTCTATCCCTGGCGTGCCCCCTCCTCCCCTCGCCACCACCAAAAAACACACACACACACACACACACCCACGCACCCACGCACGCAAGCACGCAAGCACGCAAGCACACACGCACGCACGCACGCACGCATGCACGCAAGCACGCACGCACGCACGCACGCACGCACACCCACACACACACACAGACACACACATACAAACAACATGTCCATCTCCTGAAGATTTCCAGCAGACTGCTTGAGGGAAAGATGAAGTCTCCAAATCCCGGGGCAACTTCGTTTGATAGCCTTTGAACTCAGCTCACGTGGAACAGGCGGCAGATGAGCATCAAACGGTTGATCAGCTAAGTCTCTGATGTGAAGAAGTCCATCTGCTGAAGCGCCATCCTTGGTGATTGTCACCTCAGCGAGTTGCGTGCGTACGTGTGTGCGTGCCGGCACGCTCTCGCTTCCTCTTTGCATGGGCTTCTGCATGCCCGCAAGAGGGCAGAGTGCTACACGGCTGGCCGAAAGGGAACCTCCCGTACTTTTGCATCCCAAGAAGAAAAGACAATTTGTGCGAAGTTGCGGTCTGTCAGGCATTGCTCACACTGCCCGCTGAGAGTTGAATAGATGGCTGTTCTTCTGATGCAAGCATTGATCAAATCCATTCGTGCTATGCCCGCGACGTTCATCTTGTGCTTGTGATCCGACGGCTAGTGAACGCAGGCGCTTTGTCAAAGGAGGAGAAGCCGCGCGTGCAGGGGAACTACTGCCTTCAACAATCGAACGACCCTGATTTGGGCCTAAGGCTATCGACTTGTGCTTGAATCTGTCTTTGCCAACCACCTGCACCTCACCCATTTCCTACCCAAGTCACAAAGGCGCCGAAGGGCGCGATGGAGGCCACCTTGCCCTCCACAAAGGTGTCTGGGTCCATGCCCTCGAAAGCGCTGAAGTCCTTGGGCTGCCGCATGCCGCCGCCGCCGCCGCCGCCAAAGCCGCTCTCCACCATGGAGAGGGCCATCCTGGAGAAACTTGGACCAAGTTCTTCCGACGTTGCACCAAGCCCTTTACACCCGTTTCTGATGCGGCTGACTTGGAATTCGGGATGAAAGTCGTGGAGGTCTAGATCCCGGAGTTAGAGAGCCTAGGGCAAGATAGCGGATGGCTGCATCGTCAGCCTTGGAGGTTCCAAGAGACTGGAGCCACTAGCAACAAGCTCCACTGCTTCCGCAACTCTTACCTGCTTGGCAAGGGGAGTTGCTCAATCGATGTTGCGCGGGAGCTGCCGGCATGGCATCTTGAAATGGCCTGCCCGGGCCCACAATGAGACTTGCAACGAGCTCATCTTCGAAGCTAGGACTGAAATGGCCGGCTGTCCGAGACTGGAACGAAGGAGGAATATCCAAGCGATCACTCGAAACATGTCCTGACTGTTAAGCTGCTGCAGTATGGCTTGGTCAGCCCCCAAAGTTTGCGGGATTGCCTTGAGGGTGCCTGGATTTCAGGCAAAACACACAAGAGAACAAGAGGGGGGTCTGGGGGTCAAGCCCCAAGTAGGACAACCCAGCCCAAACAAAATCACGGACACCCTCCAAATCGCTCCACTGCCCGGCCACTTCCCCAGGGCCCCAAGCCCTGCTCTCCTGTTGGTATCGAGGTCCACGTTGTCGATGCGCACCTGCACCTCTTGACCCAGCGACAGCTCATCTTCGACGTTGTCTACAAAGCCCTCCTGGCCGCTTTGAAACGAATGAGGCAATGAGGCAAGAAGAAAAGCCAGCGGAATGCCTTCTCCTTAAGAACCACGTTCAGGAGCCGGTTTAGACATACCATAAATTACCATAATACAGTCTCAAGACACGGCTTAGTAGCAAAGGTCTATCAAAAGAACTTCTGCCTGGAGCCTCCTAAAGCAAAGCATGTGCTGGAGGCCAACCGGAATGACAAATATTCCATGTGTTGCTTCAGAATATGGGCGCAAACAGCTCAAAGGCGTCCTTGATCTTGGACAAGTGGAGCAGCCCGTCCGCAGAGGTGCCGTCCTCCAGTGTCACCGTCACGAAGGCCCCGAAGGGGGCGATGCGTGCGACCACGCCCTTCTGCCACTCATCCGGGTTGACGCTGGCGAAGGGGGCCATGTCCACCTGCGCCTTAGCCCAGGCGCTGGCAGTGCCCATGTGGGTGACTTGCTCGAATGCACATGAGCAAGGAAGTAGACTGCAAGTCTGCGTTTGCAGGGAAAACTGCCAGTCTTTGCGCAGGAAGGTGTCTGCCCCCTCAGCACAAAACTTCGGAATGCAAGCCGCTTTTTTCTGGCTTGCCCTGCCCCTCTAATGCCGCGGCACTGGTCGAAACCTCTCCCCCTCCTTCTGGCCCTCAATCATGGTGAGTCCAAACTTCCCCTCCTCCCTCTTGCCAGCGATCCACACATCCACGGTCTGACCCTCGGACAGGTGGTCATAGATGTTGTCCACTCTGCCCTCAATGATGCGAGAGATGTGCCTAAGCTCATGTCAAATGATGCACAACAAACAGGCAGACTTTGTCAGCAGACGTCCGCGATTGCATTGCACGAGTGACGCAAGCACAACTGGACACATCCGATCGGCAGTCACAAACATGGCCTTTGCAGTCTCATGCTGGCAATGCCGTGCTCCCCAGCCACAGGCACGCGGAGGTGTAGCCACAGTCTCGCATGCTAGGTTCGGAGCTCGTCTTTCGAGGAAGCACGAACAAAGGTCGGGAAAGTGCAGAGAAAGTCTTTGGAACTGGTGGAAGACTAGACATAAATTTATTCTTCCACGTGAGCCAGCAGCTGATTCATCTAGGCGTTTGAATTGCTTGGAGGGCCTTAGGCGAACGAGACGCTCCGGGAAATGTCATTCTGTTGGCCTTACTAGCCAAAGGTCTCTTGCAGATGCCGTACCTGATCTTCATTGATCTTCACTATTTTGCACTTACACGAGCTCGCTTGGCTTACTGCCTTTGAGGATGCTTCGATGTTGAAGAGAAACAGAAACAGACATATCGCTTGACCCCCGTCCCTTCCCTTCACCCAGGCTGCAGCAAGCCCTCCGACTCAGCGCCAATGTCCACGAAGGCGCCAAAGTCCAGAACGGAGCGGACGGTGCCCGTGTACCTGACCGATTTCCAAGCCACCTCCCAGTGACAAACACATCAACAGAACAAGACCCATCCGTCACATGCAATTGCCTTGACTGACTTGAACCTGTTCCGTCCTGGCCCTCTTCGTGGTTCCTAAACACGGCCTCAAACTTTGGGGATGCACATTGTTGTACCACATTGGGGGTGAACATTGCTGCGACGAGCTTGAGCAATGTTCGCAGCGTGCCAAAGCCAATCAATCACATATGTGATGCCACTGGCTGCCTGTGCACCCACCGAAAATTCAAGAACAGACTCGCTGTAGCAAATAAAGGCGAAGAGTGCAAACACATGTTGCTTCTGCTAGGGAGGTCCACTGGCCAAAGTTCTGTTGGCCAAGCTGAGGCACAGGAAGCTACAGAACAAGTACGGGCCAGCTTGTCAAAGCCAAACCAAGGCGCTTTTGGCCAACTTCCAGCTTCTCCCAGGGGATCGGCGGATACTTCATGTCCTTCGGCTGCACATCAGACTGCTCGGGGCCGCCATCCGGATCCTCCCACTTCACCGCAAAGGTGCCGTCCTCGTTGGCCTTGATCACTTCTGCAGGGTACCAGTAGCTGTCATCGGGGAAAACCGCCTCAATCGCCTCGCCCACCTTGTAGTCCTTGAAGATGACAATCTTCCTCAGCCAAGGTGCCACAGCGGGGGGGGGGGCACGGCCTCTGCGACAAGCAAGCTTCAACCTTGAAATAGTTTAAATAAAGGAACCATTGTATTCGCAACATCGTGCAGTGGGCGGGTACTGGCCCACACGGCCCCAAAGCATTCAGCTTGGCATAGAAAGCATGATGCCAAGCGTCTTGATAGCGTCCGCAGCCACATTGTGGCTCTCAGGTCCGCCCTCTGGATCTTCCCATTTTACGCTGAAGGTCCCATCCTCATTGATGGTGTCGATCGCCCCTGGGTACCATTGATCATCATCGGGGCAAATGGCGCTCACAGCATCCTTAGCTTCAAGCTACGCTGGGTCACCAGCACTTTCCACATTGAGCCTAGCTTCTCGTGACCCATCGTATAACCCGCAACCTGATCACAAATAGCCTTGAAAACGCCAAGCTGAGCTGGAAAGGACCTAGCAAAAGCCAAGTTGTGTGTCAGCCTGCAGACTAGCAAATAGTATCGAGCCTTCTTTTCAGACTCTCTCCAAACCGGTGTGAATTATAAAGATGAATATGTTCGGCATGCTTGCTCATGTAGCACGGATGGAACAAGAACCAACCGTACTGCACTACCACAAAAGCCGACTGCACTATTACAACAGCATTCTTATTTCACCACTCAGTTAAAGGCTGTACAAGTTGCACAGACTTAGTGTCGTGGGAGCCAACACGCCAGCCGTCTAAGCGGCAACGGGCAAGTAAAAAGCCCTGACGTCTGCACCAAAGATGGGGTACAATTTGCAAAAAGCGGCATCAGCACATACAGCAGGCCCAAAAAAGGTCCCTAACCAACACTGCCTCTCCAATGGGTATCCCATGGGTACCTAGGCCTTTCATCCAAGGATCTCCCACCGCCAGCTTGCCGATGTCTGCTTCTCCGCCCCTGGACCTGCGAGCCACGGCAGGTTGGGCGCGGGGCACGGAGAGCTGCACAAAAGCGGGGGCATAGAGGAGTGCCAACACCTGGGAGCGCAGCAGGAAATTGCGGCAAGGGGGGAGCCTTCCCTGGAAGGGCAATGAAGCCCCGGAAATGAAGCTAAACAAACCCCCCCCGCTCCCACCCCCCCACCCCCACAAATTGAGGATTCGAACTTTGGGGAGGCCAGGAGAGACCTCCCTCTGGCGCCATTTTTGCCTGCACGGGCAACCCGATCTGATAGACAAGGCGCCACCAGCAACGGCAATGGCCGCCGGACACTTCGAAAAGTCTTTGCCATGGCAATCAAAAAGGCCTTCCGACGTGTCCACTGCTAGCCTCAAAATTTCTGCGGCAACACAGGCACTCAAAGTTCCAAGACCGGGCTTGGCCGCGAAACATGCACGTGCGGCTCAGTCATGACGTTGGTGGCCAGCTCTTACAGGACCTGGGTGGCTGGAACTCGCCGAGTACGCTGAGTTGGGTTGCCTCCTCCCCCTGTGAGCAGAAGGCCCAAATGTTTGCAGCATCAAGGGAAAACCAGGTGCTTCCAAAGGTCTGAGGGGCATCCGGTCACCTCAAAGACCGGCCATGTAGTGCGAAGGAAGGCATGCAACCACTTTGGGCTCATGGTAGCTCCTGGGCGAGTAACAAGGAGGCGATGGATTCCGCTCGCAGCCCACTTTGCGCTTTTTTTCCGTTCCACTCCTCAATGGCTGCGCCCTTCTTCTTGGGCGAGCACACAACTCGGCACCACTGTCACAGAAAGGGCCCACTCCCTTGTTCAAGTTCCGGGTTGAAACTAGGGACGCATCAAGCCTACGCCTATGAGCGGCTTTGAATGTCCAAATGCGACGTCGTGCCTTGCTGCCATCTTCAGCCCACCAACTTTGGGCGGTCTGGAACAGCGGAATTGAAAACTCCGCCAGGAAACTCCGTGCTGGGCCGAGCCACCTGCCTCGGCAACTTCGGGTGGGCCCAGGCAGCCAGCTACCCGCGCAGTCGAACGCGAAGCCGTTAGCTGGAGCCCAGGTCGCGCTGTCATTTAAGCCCTTTCTGAATTTCTGGGGTCAAAACATATTCGATCACATCGGAGGCTTCATTGACAAGCTCATCCTGCCAGCCGCCGCGTCAACCGACTCCACCCGCACCTTGACCTCCTGGCCCACTGAGAGCTCGTCCTCTATGGACTCCACAAAGCCGTCACGGATGTCTCCTCAATTGCCACGCTCAACAACTCCTTCTGTTCACGGGCATGGTTCCCTTTCTAGAAACATCTGCAATGGTGGGCTAAACTTCCCATGAAGAGAGCAAGTAATCTCGGGGTGAGACCTTTCTTGGCATAGGTGAACTTTCGAACAATCCGGACTGGCCGTGGCGCAAACTCAAACGCTGACAAAGGGGCCAGGAACGCAAAGCAAGGCCAAACAGAAGCAACTAAGACAGCCAGGTCGCTAATGTGAAGAAGTCCATCTGCCGAATTGCCATCCTTTGTGAGTGTCACCTTGGATGGCAAAACACGCAGCAAACATTGACAGCAGCCAGCGATGCCAAAACCGGTGACTTCCCAAGAACTGTCCAAAGGCATGCTTTCAGATTGCTGGTGTGCGCAAATTGGAGGTGGCAAGGAGGGGAAAGGATGCGCCTGGAAAATAAAAACTCGGCGAGTTCAGGAAGGCCTGTTGACCCACAATGACCTAGGTGATTGGTTCGGGGCCTGTGGAACCTTGGCAGATGCACGAATGCCGTGCTTTGATGTGGGTAGCGTTCGCTACACGTCGAGCAGCTTGCTTTACAGACATTCCCTTGCAGCACTTGGTGGCAAGTAAGGCAAGACTTTCCCGAATACAACGAAACAAGCAAACAAAAAGTCCAACAAACTTACCAAACTAACGAACAAACAAGCAAACAAAATAGCAAGCAGGCAAGAAAGCAAGCAAGCAAGCAAGCCAGCCAGCCAAACAAGCTAAGCGAGCCAAGCGAGCCGAGCGAGCCAAGCAAGCCAAGCAAGGCAAGCCAGCCAGCCGGCCAGCCGAGCAGGCACCACAGAAATCAGAAACAATGCCGAAAACATACAAAGTAAAATGAGAACAATCAAATCGATCAACCAATCCAATCTACCAGCCAACCAACCAACCAACCAACCAACCAACCAACCAACCAACCAACAAATCTAACCTAATCGAATCCAATCCAATCCAATCCAATCCATCAACCAACCAACCCACCCACCCACCAACCAAACCAACCCATCCATCAAATCAATCAACCAAATCAACCAAATCAATCAAACCAATCAACCAAATCAACCAATCAATCAATCAATCCGATCGATCGATCGACCGATCAATCAATCAATGAATCAATCAATCAGTCAACCAATAAACCAACCAACCAATAAACCAACCAATCAATGAATCGATCAACCAATCAACCAATCAACTTAAACAAACTAAACTATCACTCACTCACTCACTCTGCTCAATCACCACTCTACAAACATAGCTCGCGGTCGGTTCTTTCTGGTCGTGCGTCATGTTAGCTATCGGCTGGCTGCATGTTTCGGTTATGTCGTCCTGATTATCTTATATAAGGCATGACTGCCGGATTTGGCAGTGGGCGTATTCCAGTATCGGTATTGCTCGATTGGTCTCACAGCCGTGAATATTAGGCTGCGGCGGGCAGCCCCGCGCGGTGTACATTTCGTCCGATTCGGTTATGCCCGACTGTGCGCGGCTTCAGGTGCCGCGAGCGGCAATTGGGTGTGCCGTGGTTGCCTGTATCTGACAAGCAGGAATAAACCGGCTGGAACCGCGGCTACCAGCAAAAATACCAAGGTCGCATGGGTTCCCAGGGTTGAAGGCAAGATCGACAGGAGCAACACATAGACAAAAGGTTGCATCCAGGTAATGCCCGCCAGAAACTGCAACTCCATTGGCCAGTCAGGCATCGACCTGGCAACGAAAAGTACGCCTGCGGCAAACAGGGGCCAGCTGTAGTACAGAAAGGACGGTGCAACGATGGTGCTGAGCAGCAAAACAAACCCGATACGCAACTCATAAGGCAAGCGGGAAGGCAGGCGGAGTGTGCAGATCACGCCCAGTATGATTGCTGCAAAGACGAGCGCCGCTCTCAAACCCATATCGACATGCATCCGGCCCAAAAAAGACCGGAGCGAGGTGTCCCATTCCAGGGCCGTGAGTGCGTAGGCCTGATAAAGGGGCGTTGTGAAGGACGACATATAGCTCAGCAAAACATCTGGTCCGTAAAGGGCAAGTGAGAGGCCCGTCAGCACCAACGTGCCGAGCGTTGCCCAACCGATGCATCGCCAAGCGCCAATGCTGACCAAAAAGAAAGGAACAAGAAGCCCGTATTGCGGCTTAATTGTTGCGACGGCGAGCGACAAGCCGGCCAGAATGGGGCGTTGTTTTGCGTGAACAAGAGCAAAAACAATCAATGTTATTATAAAGATAGAAAGATTTAGCCGTAGAAGGATCTGAACCGTTCCAACGGAGGCGGCAAACAGCGCGGACACGGCCAGATTAAACCCTGCAAGCCGTGGAATCGCGAAGAGCGCTATCAGAGTCATTCCCAATACGATGATTTTCAGCGTGGCGAAATCCATCCAGGAAAAAACATGAAAGAGTGGGAGGGCATGCGGCGGATTTAAGAAAATCAGGTCTGATAGCCGTTCCGACAACCCGTCCCGGAACAACTCCGGATCGTAGACGTCCGCCGCTGATCCGGCATTGGACATCTCAGAGGCCCGATGAAACGCTGAGAGGTCCTCGACGCGAGCATCCTTCAGGGTTCGCGGAAAGTCAAAAACGGCGGACCTGACAGTCCACAAGGCTTGCAGCGTACCAAGCGCCGATATGATCAACAGCCACAAAAACGCGGGCCCGCCGAGTGTGTTTTTGACGGTTTTCGAGTGCCAGAACGGCAACAGGCTGCGAGCAGAAGACAAGGCAAAAATTCCTTTGTAAAAATCAGGAGAATACAAACGGCGCAAAAACCTTAAGTTGCGCAGAAATCTAAAAAATGAGTTAAACTTCAGGTTGTGCAATTGAAAGTTGATTGAAAAAATCAGACGAAACGTCCGGCCGTGCCCAATGGACTTTTGCCACCCCGATCTCGTCGCAATAAGCGTTGTGCCTTTGTGACAAGGAAATCAGTCACAGAACCTGCGTGTCTCCATGGATTACGTCTTTGTAAGGCTCTTGTTGCGCAACTTGCCAAGCCTGGCTTCAATACCCATCTTCAGTCAGGATTTTGACTTGATCGGCGCCAATGCGCGCCGGTGACAAAAGGACAGGAAACGGACACAGGCACTAATGAACTACATTCGTACGGCAATGCTGTTGGCGGGGATGACCGCCCTCTTTATGGGAATCGGCTTCATGATCGGTGGACAGTCGGGCATGCTGATTGCCCTGGCGATTGCTGCGGCCATGAATGTTTTCAGCTATTGGAATGCGGACAAGATGGTTCTGCGCATGCATCACGCGCAGGAAGTGGACGAGCGGTCGATGCCTGACTTTTACCGCATGGTTCAGCGGCTGGCACAAAATGCCGATCTGCCGATGCCCAAGGTCTATATCATCAACAATCCGCAGCCAAATGCCTTTGCCACTGGACGAAATCCGCAAAATGCGGCTGTTGCAGCAACGACCGGACTGCTGAACATGCTGTCACCTGAAGAGGTGGCCGGCGTGATGGCGCACGAACTCGCACATGTGAAGAACCACGACACGCTGATCATGACGATCACGGCGACGATCGCCGGGGCTATCTCGATGCTGGCCAATTTTGCGTTCTTTTTCGGCGGAAACCGTAACAACCCGCTCGGCATCGTCGGAATGCTCCTGATGATGATCGTGGCGCCAATGGCAGCCATGGTCGTGCAGATGGCGATCTCGCGGACACGCGAATATGCAGCCGACCGGATGGGTGCCCGAATCTGTGGTGAACCGATGTGGCTGGCTTCTGCCCTCGGCAAGATCGCCGGCGGCGTCGAGCGTATCCACAACCCCGACGCGGAAGCCAATCCGGCGACGGCACACATGTTCATCATGAACCCGCTGTCCGGAGAGCGGATGGACAATCTGTTTTCCACGCACCCAAACACGCAGAACCGGATTGATGAGTTGCGCAAGTTGTCCGATGGAGGACTGGGAACCGGCGGACGGGCCTCGTATGGCAGTGCCGGTTCGGCGCCAGGTTCGGGACCTTGGGCAGGAATGGGCAGCCGGCCTGGCACCAGCGAGCCACAACGCCCGAAGGGGCCTTGGGGCTAGAACGTGATCACCGATGCTCAAAACACCTTTTCTGACTGACCCGGAAGGAATAGGGTAAAACCATTGCGCCGCAGCCGGTCATCCGGTCTGCGGCGCTTGCCTTTCGCCGCAAGGACGCGGCTCCAGACAGGAACATTCCTTGAATAGTCGCTTGAGTAAAAAATCCGGACAGCCCGGCCCAAAGGAAACTGACCGACCCGAAAAGCCGGGATTTGCCGCCCGAAAGATCGCAGCCGATATCCTGGGGAATGTCGTTCACAAGAAACGGCCCCTTGATGGAGAACTCGAGGCAGGATCCGGCCATTCGGGTTTTCGCGCTCTTGCCGGCAATGACCGGTCGCTGGTTCGCGCCATAATAGGGGCCGCATTGCGCCATCGGGGCGAAATCACGGAAATTCTCGATCGGTTGCTGGACCGTCCGATCCCCGAGAAAACGGGCAGGATTCTGGACATTCTCCATGTGGCGATAGCGCAGATGCTGTTCCTTGATGTTCCGGACCGTGCTGCCGTTTCGCTGGCCGTCGACCATGCGGGACTGGATCGCAGGGCGCGTCCCTACAAGGGTCTCGTGAACGGTGTATTGCGGCGTCTCGGGCGGGAGAAGGAAGAGATCACGTCCGATATCGATGCAGAGAAGGTGAACACACCGGACTGGCTCTGGGACAGCTGGCATGATGCCTATGGTGCAGAGGGCGCCCGGGCAATTGCACGATCGCACCAGTCGGAGGCGGCGCTTGACCTGACGGTGAAATCCGACCCGGAAAACTGGGCGGACAAGCTGGAGGGTCGCGTTGTCGGCAATGGAAGCGTAAGGTTGGTTCGAAAGGGAGCCGTGGACTCCCTTGACGGATTTGAAGAAGGCTCCTGGTGGGTTCAGGACGCGGCTGCGGCACTACCGGCCCGGCTGCTCGGCGACATTCAGGGCCTCAGGGTTGCCGATCTTTGTGCAGCGCCGGGCGGCAAGACGGCGCAACTCGCCGCGGCGGGGGCGCATGTGACGGCTGTCGACATCAGCAAAGGCCGCCTCAGACGGCTTGAAGAGAACATGACCCGGTTGGGCTTCGACGTGGAGACGATTGTATCCGACCTCCGGGAATTCGAACCGGACGACCCGTTTGACGCTGTCCTGCTGGACGCTCCCTGCAGTGCCACCGGGACAATCCGGCGCCACCCGGACGTCGCCTGGATCAAGTCGCCGTATGATGTCGAGAAACTGACCGAAAGTCAGCGGGATCTGCTCGACAGGGTGCTTCCCTGGGTCAAGCCGGGCGGGTTGATCGTCTATTGCACGTGTTCGCTGGAGCCAGCAGAAGGAGAAGGGCAGGTTGCTGCATTTCTGCAACGGCACGCGGAAAACATCCGCCTGGTACCGATCGGATCCGACGAAATTGGTGGTCTCCATCAGTGCGTTACAGGTGAAGGATACCTGCGCTGCCTGCCCAGTCACGCTGCAGACCCGACAGCTGAATCAATCGGTATGGATGGCTTCTTTGCCGCGAGATTCAGGCGTTCTTAACGTAGCTTAAACCGTTCATTTGCAATGTTTATATCAATGAAATGCTAACCTTAATGGTCTGTTTCAGATTTGAAGAGCACTAGTGACGCTCTTGAGAACCGGAGAATTCACAATAGTAGCGCGTAAACCATCAGCATCGGGGATGGTTTGGTGAATATTGCAAGCCTCAACGAAAGAAGCCGAATCTGGCGTCTTGTGGCCCTGCATATCTGGCACCGTACCCTGAAATGGATGCATGGCGGACCAATCTTCCGCATGCAGCCGTTTTCGGCTGTGCCATCACGCCTGCTGATCGCGCCGCAGGATCTTCGAACGGCTGACGAAACCAATGCGGCCGACATTTACGGCGGCCGCTTTCTGTTTTCAGGTCATCTGGTGGAAACCCAGGGTCGCTAACCTTTCGAGCTGGATGCAGTCCACGAGGATTGGCAACGCGAACTGCACAGCTTTGGCTGGCTGCGGGATCTGCGCGCGTCCGACAGTCAGATTGCGCGCCAGAACGCCCGTGTTCTGGTTCAGGACTGGATGAAGTATTGCGGACGGCGGCATGTCATCGGCTGGGAAGCACCGGTCGTGACACAGAGAATTTTGTCCTGGCTGGCCCATTCGCCCTTCATTCTCCAGGACGGTGACCACGAATTTTACCGCAGCTTCGTAAAGTCTCTGTCGAGACAGGTCCGTTACCTGCGGCAGACAATCAACGAGACCGAAGACGGGGTTGTGCGGCTTCGGGCATCGCTGGCGGTAGCCTCGGCTTGCATTTCCATGGCAGGTCAGGGTCGGTTTGCTCGGCAGAGCATCCGCCGGCTCGAGCACGAACTGACACGTCAGATACTCCCGGATGGCGGACACATCTCACGCAACCCCCGGGCACTTATCGACATCCTCGCGGACCTGCTGCCCGTACGGCAGGCCTTTGTCTCGCAGGGTCTGGAAATGCCGCCTGCGATGCTGCAATCCGTCGATCGCATGATGCCGTTGCTGCGGTTTTTCCGCCATGGCGATGGTTCGCTCGCCCATTTCAACGGCATGGGGTCGACACCGAGTGACCTCGTTGCGACCATCCTTGCTTATGACGACGCCAGGGGTGCGCCCCCGGTAAATGCGCCCCACTCAGGCTATCAGCGCCTTGGCGGAGCGAATTCGGTGGTTCTGATCGATACGGGTGCGGTGCCCGCACTCGGCGTTTCAGGCGACGCCCATGCCGGCTGCCTGTCCTTCGAGTTTTCTTCCGGAACAAACAGGATCGTCGTCAATTGCGGTGTCTCGCCGAAGTCCAATCCTCTCTGGCGCAAGGTCAGCAGATCGACTGCGGCGCATTCGACAGCGACCGTCGAAGACACCTCTTCGTGCCGTTTCCTGTCGGAAAGACCTTTTGGGCGCCTTCTTGGCGCGCCCATTCTGTCTGGCCCGTCTTCGGTCGACGTTGACCGTGAAGACGACAAGGCGGGCAGCCGCATCACGGCCTCCCATGATGGCTACGCGTCGGAATTCAATGTCATCCACGAGCGTGACCTGCGGCTTTCGGGGGATGGGACCGTGCTCGACGGCATCGACACCTTGCGGGCAGTAGGGCCCGTCGACGCAGAGCATCACTATGCGCTTCGGTTTCACCTTCATCCGGGGCTTCGCACGTCCCTGTTGCGCAGCGGGTCTGCCGTTCTGATGGTCTGCCGCAGCGGAGAAGCGTGGGAATTCGAGGCGCCCGGCAGCGAATTGTCCCTGGAAGAGAGCATCTACCTGTCCGATGTCTTCGGCCACAGGAAGACGGACCAGATCGTGGTCAGCGGATCGCTGCTCGAGGCGCCGTCGGTTGGCTGGCAATTCCGCAAGACGGCGACGGCAAAACTCAGCCGGCGCGGAACAACCGAGTTTGACGAACTGGATGAACTGCCGCTCGAAGAATAGGGTGGCATCCGGACAACCAAGTACCTTCCGATTTGCCTGAAGACGTGTTAGGGCGACGTCGAACTCCCCGATCGTTCCCACTTGCGAGGCAAACTCATGGCCATTGTGTCCAAAGCCGTTCCGATTCCCGAACTGGTGTCCGTCAAACGTGCGCTTCTATCTGTATTCGACAAGACCGGATTGGTGGATTTCGCCAGGGCTCTGTCTGACCGCGGTGTCGAACTGGTCTCAACGGGCGGGTCATACAAGACCCTGAAGGACGCAGGGCGTGAGGTTCTGGACATTTCTGAAGTCACCGGGTTTCCGGAGATCATGGATGGCAGGGTCAAGACGCTGCATCCGATGGTACATGGTGGTCTTCTCTCGATCCGCGACGATCAGGATCATCAGGCTGCCATGCGGGAACACGATATTGCCGGCATCGACCTTTTCTGCGGAAACCTCTATCCGTTTGAGGACGTTGTGGCGTCGAATGCCGATTATGCGACGGGGATAGAAAACATCGATATCGGCGGACCGGCCATGACCCGCGCCGCTGCAAAGAACCACGCCTACGTCACGGTCGTGACCGATCCTGCCGATTATGATGCCGTGATCGCGGAACTCGATGCCAACGAGGGCAAGTCGCCGATCGCCCTTCGCAAAAAGCTTGCGCTGAAGGCATTTGCACGCACGGCCGCCTATGATGCCGCGGTTTCAAACTGGATGGCAGAGCAGCTTGATGAGGCGACCCCGGCACACAGGGCCGTCGGGGGCGCGCTGGCGGAAGTCATGCGCTACGGCGAGAACCCGCATCAGACGGCCGGCTTCTACAAAACAGGTGAGAAGCGTTCCGGCGTCGCGACCGCAAGTCAGTTGCAGGGCAAGACGCTGTCCTACAACAATATCAACGACACCGACGCGGCCTTTGAACTTGTCAGCGAATTTGATCCGGATCGCACCAGCGCGGTAGCGATTATCAAGCATGCCAATCCTTGCGGTGTCGCCGAAGGTGCAAGCCTGAAGCAAGCGTATGAAAACGCCCTGCGCTGCGACCCGGTATCCGCTTTTGGCGGTATTGTCGCCCTCAACCAGGTTCTCGACGCCGAGGCAGCGGAGGAGATTGTCAAGGTTTTCACCGAAGTGATCATTGCCCCGGATGCGGACGACGCGGCACGGGAGATCATCGCGTCGAAGAAAAACCTGCGACTTCTGGTCACCGGTGGACTGGCGAACGCGCGCGCCAGCGGCCTTTTTGTCAAGTCGGTGGCCGGCGGGCTGCTTGTCCAGTCCCGTGACAATGGGGTCATTGACGATCTCGACCTTAAAATCGTGACCAGGCGCGCTCCGAGTGAGCAGGAGCTTGCCGATCTCAAATTTGCCTTCCGTGTGGCCAAACACGTGAAATCCAACGCGATCGTTTATGCCAGGGATGGCGCGACGGTGGGCGTTGGTGCCGGCCAGATGAGCCGCGTGGACTCAGCCCGGATCGCTGCAAGAAAGGCTTTGGACGCAACGGAAGCTGCGGGCCTGAGCGAACCCCTGACCAAGGGATGCGTTGTGGCGTCCGATGCCTTTTTCCCCTTTGCAGACGGATTGCTGTCGGCCGCCGAGGCCGGGGCCACAGCGGTCATTCAGCCAGGCGGTTCCATGCGCGACGACGACGTGATCGCTGCTGCGGATGAGGCTGGACTTGCGATGGTGATGACGGGTATGCGCCACTTTCGTCACTAATGTGTCAGTGATTGAAACCTGCCGATCCAACGGATTGATTTTACTGTCACAAATGACGAGAACGAGGCAATCCGGCGTAAGTCGGCGCGTCAGCCGGATCGATTGATCGCAAAACCCGATCAAGACATGGAAGCGTGCCGGAATTACCCGGCGCGCTGCTCCTTTACTCCCCACATCAACACCAGTCCGACGGCGAAGAAGACGAGAACCACCGACATGCCACCGGCCTGACTGCCGGTCAGGGCAGTGACAATCCCGACCGCGAGCGGCGCCATGAAACTCGTGACCTTGCCCGATACGGCCAGCAGACCGAAATACTGGGACATGTGTTCCCTCGGGGCCAGCCGTATCAGCAGACTGCGCGAGGAAGCCTGCAACGGGCCGGCTACGGAACCGATCACGGCACCGAGCCCGATGAACACCTGCTCGGGAAGCGAGGCGAATTGAGCGCCTTCCGGCGCAGCCTGCGTCTTGATGATGAAGAATACCGTCGTCTTGTCGATCGAGACCATGCCAAGGCCGCAGATCATGAGGATGACGAGCGAGAAAATAATCACGGGCCGGGCGCCCAAACGGTCGTCCATCGGCCCTGCCAGAAGAAGTCCGAGTATTCCGGTGATAATGACAATGATGCCGAAGATGCCGATTTCGATGGACCCCCAGCCGAGTTGCCCAGCGGAATAGATGCCGCCAAAGGCAAAAAGCGCGACCAAACCGTCCTTGAAAATCATGTTGGCGATCAGGAATTGAAAGATATTCCGGTTGGCCCTTGCCTGGGAGAGGCTTGCGTGCAATTCCGACAGCCCCTTGCGGATCGCTGTCGTGAATTTTTCTTTCGCGGATGCATCCGGCACGAAGAAGAACATCGGCAGGACGAACAGGGCGTACCACAGAGCCGAGAAGGGTCCGGTCACCCGGTCGCCTTCCTGTGTTGCCGGGTCCAGGCCGAGGACCGGACTGATCCCGGCAAGGGTCTTGCCGGTGTGCGAATCGGCTGAAAAGAGCAGCAGCGCGATCGCAAGCGTGATCAGCGCACTCGCATATCCCGCCGCCCAGCCAAAGCTCGACAGGCGGCCGACCTGCGGTGCAGGAACGAGCGAAGGCATCATGGCATTGTTGAAAACTGTCGCAATCTCGATGGAAAGCGTGCCAACCGCAAAGGCGACAAGGGCAATGGCAATGCTGTTCGAACCGCCTGGCTCGGCGTACCAGAACATCCAGCAACTGATGACAAAAGGGATTGAAAACACGAAG